ATCTTTTAAAAATTTGATTCGCAAGTTTAATCTAATCAGACTCTTGTTTAATTTGATCCAATCCTTCAAATGTTTGACCGCGCTCCAATTAAAACTGTGTCCAACAAATTGGAAGAAATTCCTCAACGGACGCATTATTACAGCCAGCGTAAATTCAATATAAAAAAAAAACTGTTAATCTCGGCTCGAATTATTGTGTTACAATAAAAATAAAATATCGACGGCAATCGGAGCCTATGCGGATGACATGCACAAAATTAATAAATTAAAATGAGATCTCAAATCAAACTCATTTATTAAGTTCTAAACGTTTCGACCCACTTCGGGTCTTCTTCAGTAGCTGCAAAATACAAAGAAACAAAAATAGAAGATAATCGGTACAATCAGAAAATTATAAAACTCGTATACATACAATCCGCAAATAAATTAAATATAATTCTCCTCCCTATTCAAACCGTCCGGCCGTCGGAGTGTCTCCCTAACGGTGACCATCGTCAGGAAGGAAGCAGAGCCGTGACTCCCTTACCAACACTAATCAACATGGTATAAATTAAACGTAGAACAATTCACAAGAATTAAAAATTAAAAACCGGGAAGAACACTCACCCCGACAGTAAAAACAGAGAGAAGACGATGCTACACGTGACACATCACTCTAACGACTGTGCGGTATTCTACCACGACACAGTCGATACATATATACGCAAAAACAAATATAAAAATAAAATATGAAAATAAAAATAAAAATAAAAACAACTAAACTAATCGGCACTCATGTCAAAAGTCTAACAATTTTTTCGACTGGATGATAAATTTAGATGGCTCTTAGATAAACAAAATAAATTCAATAATAGGAATATTCGTCCTATCCAATATTATTATACGTGTACGAAAGAATTTTCTTCAAGGCCATGTGAGTCAGGGCCGTCTCAGTCTCTCAGCTTTCCTTGAGCCCGACTTCCTTTGTTTCTTTAAATCCTGATGTTGCTGACAAAAGAGATAAATGGTTTTTAAATTTATCATCTGTATCGATACCGTATGAAATTCGAGATTTGTTGCGGTTAGGAGAGAATTTCTGTCTGCCAGTATTTGTCAAAGATAAAACCACCATAGAGTTGTTGAAAAATATGGAACAAAATATTTTTAAACTCCCTGTGGAAAAACGATCTGCAGTCAGAAGTAGAGCCTTTCCCATAATGAATAAATTCCATATTTCTATGTCAGAAAAAGCTCACGCAAAAATAGTTTTTGTAAGGCTTACAAATTGACGGGTAAATTTATCCAAGACAATCCCGATATTTTATTTATGAAGGCGGATAAGGGTAATATCACGGTTGCGATGAATAGAGATATGTACATGGACAAAATGTGTGATTTGCTGGCTGACCGGGATACTTATACTGTTGTTAAAAAAGATCCGACTAGGAACTTAATTAATCAATTACACGGAATTTTAATGAGATGGAAAACGAAGAATTACATTTCTTCAACAACATATAAATCCCTGAACTGCACGGACGGGGTTTTACCGAGAGCGTATGGTCTGCCGAAGGTGCATAAACCGAATTGCCCTTTACGTGTCATCGTGTCATCTAGGAATACACCTCTTTATTACTTGGCAAAATTTTTACATAAGATAATATATAAGGCAATTCCGAAACCTGATTCGGCTATTTCTGATAGTTTTCAATTAGTGAACAAATTAAATGGTTTATGTGTGGATAGTGATGTGAAGCTAGTTTCACTAGATGTTGCATCATTGTTCACCAACGTACCATTGGATATGGCTATTGATAGTTTAATTAACAGATGGGGGTATATTGAAAAAGAGTGTATTATTCCACGAGATGAATTTTTATTGGCAATTCGTTTTATTATGAACTCGACTTATTTTATGTTTAATAATGTATGTTATCAACAGACTTTTGGCACACCTATGGGTTCCCCCCTCTCACCGATCATTGCGGATATCACGTTGCAAGATTTGGAGAGTAGAGCGATTGCTGCGATTCCATTGTTATTTCCATTTTATTTTAGATATGTTGACGATATCGCGTTGGCGGCCCCACCCTCCATGCTTAAAATAGTTTTAAACACTTTCAATTCTTTCCATCCTAGATTGCAGTTCACCATGGAGGAGGGGGTTGACAACCGATTGAATTTTTTAGATGTCACCATTATTATAAATAATGGGAGCATTGAGTTCGATTTGTTTCATAAGCCGACGTATTCAGGTAGATATTTAAATTTTGAATCGCAGCATCCTCTCTGTCATAAAAAGGGCACCATTATCAGCCTCATAGATAGAGTTTTTTGGCTATCTCATCCGAAATTCCATAAAGGTAACTTTGAGTCTATGATTGGAGTTCTTTTGTCTAATAATTATCCTCTCAATTTGATATTTCATACTTTGCAAGCGCGGTTAAAAAAGTTGTTCTTCCGCTATAATAATAAGTTGCATAACAATAGAGCAAATATATGCAATGACAAGATTCCAACGCAGAAAAAAGTTTCGTACTTTAATATTCCGTATATTAATAATGTATCGAAGAGAATCGAGGACATTACACGTGATTTGGATGTCACTCCATCATATACAGCAATTAACAGTCTCCGTAAATTCATTAAAGTACACAAGGATAAGTTACCAAGGGAACTCCATAATAATGTAGTTTATAAAATTGATTGTATGGATTGTGATGCGTCGTACGTAGGGCAGACAGGTAGATTGTTGAAAACTAGGATGAAAGAACATCGCAACAACATAAAAAGAAACGCGTCACAATTATCAGTCATATCGGAACATAGATTATTGAACCATGAATTTAATTGGGAGGATGTAAAAGTCTTAGACGAGGAGCCTTTTTTAGGTAAACGTTTGATATCCGAAATGATCCACATAAAACGTCAGAAGAATAGTTTAAATTTACATAGCGACACTGATAAATTAAATGAGAATCTTGATTTGTTAATAGAAAAATTTACCAAAATCTAGCTTTGTGATTTTACATAGCCGGGTTTTTTTTTTTTGTTAGACTTTTGACATGAGTGCCGATTAGTTTAGTTGTTTTTTTTTTTATTTTTATTTTCATATTTTATTTTTATATTTGTTTTTGCGTATATATGTATCGACTGTGTCGTGGTAGAATACCGCACAGTCGTTAGAGTGATGTGTCACGTGTAGCATCGTCTTCTCTCTGTTTTTACTGTCGAGGTGAGTGTTCTTCCCGGTTTTTAATTTTTAATTCTTGTGAATTGTTCTACGTTTAATTTATACCATGTTGATTAGTGTTGGTAAGGGAGTCACGGCTCTGCTTCCTTCCTGACGATGGTCACCGTTAGGGAGACACTCCGACGGCCGGACGGTTTGAATAGGGAGGAGAATTATATTTAATTTATTTGCGGATTGTATGTATACGAGTTTTATAATTTTCTGATTGTACCGATTATCTTCTATTTTGTTTCTTTGTATTTTGCAGCTACTGAAGAAGACCCGAAGTGGGTCGAAACGTTTAGAACTTAATAAATGAGTTTGATTTGAGATCTCATTTTAATTTATTAATTTTGTGCATGTCATCCGCATAGGCTCCGATTGCCGTCGATATTTTATTTTTATTGTAACACAATAATTCGAGCCGAGATTAACAGTTTTTTTTAAATATAAAATATGTTTGATTAATTTTACTATACAGTTTAGTAAAATTAATCACACATATTTCATATTTTATTGTGATAGATATTATTTTTAATGTGATAAATATTAATTCTCTTCATACCGTATTGTCTCACAATTACCATAACTTTTAGGGTAAATTTTAAGAGAAAATTCTCTCAGTGTACCGATTAATTATTAAAAATTACTTGTAAAAAGGCACACGTTACTCGATGCGGACGACAATTGTTTACACGGCAAGGACACGACAACAGACTGCGGCGACGGACGACGCGACGCGTCGCGACGCTTCGCGACACGTCTAGACGATAACAATCACGCGGCGTTGCCGAACATGTGATTGACGCGAGACATGTATTAAAACGTATAATAATTATGTTATTAAAAAAGGCATATTATAACGTATTATAATTTTTTACGTTATAATACATTTTTTTAATGACTTAACATTATCCGCCCGTTTTGCCCTTTCTTTTTAAGCGAGACGTGAGAAAAATAATTATGTTTTGCGAACAAGATGTTCCATGTATAAATGTATTGGTCGCTCTGAAAAGAGCGGATTGACTTTGGTCGCTCTGAAAAGAGCGGATTGACTTTGGTCGCTCTGAAAAGAGCGGATTAACTTTGGTCGCTCTGAAAAGAGCGGATTAATTTATAATAGGTGCTCAAAATGACCACCATCCATCCTTATGCAAGCTCTCATGCGTTTAAATAAATTTAATTGCACGTTCTCCATTACTTCCTCTTCGATATTCCAAATTACATATCGCAATCTGGTTTCTAAGTCGTCGACGTCCTCGGGAAGCGTTTTGTATATTGATTCCTTACAGTATCCCCATAAAAAGAAATCAAGAGGATTAAGGTCCGGGGATCTTGCGGGCCAACGTATCGGGCCATACCGACCCATCCAACGTCCAGGAAAGTGCTCGTTCAAGTAGTTTGTTACAATCCTGGCGTTGTGTGGTCCAGCACCGTCTTGTTGAAAGAACATTTTATTTCTTTCAAATAGTGGCACTTCTTCTAAAAAATCGGGCAGATTTTCTTTCAAAAGTTCCACGTACGTCTGGCCAGTTAAAATATCTGGTAGAATAACGGGCCCAAGTATTTGGGTACCCATTATTCCAGCCCAGATATTTATTTTCCAACGTACTTGAAAATTTTTGAGCCGCGTTACTCTGGGATTTTCTTCGCTCCAATAATGCATATTGTGCGAGTTAAAAATACCTTCTTGTGTGAATAGTGATTCATCACTGAATATCACACGGAAAGAAAATCTGGGATCTCGATCCACTTGTCTCAAAAAATTTTCGCAAAATGTTCTTCTTGCCTGATAATCTTCAGCTCGTAAATGTTGCACGCGTGTATAATGAAACGCGTGCAACTTTTCTTCTTTGAGCGTTCTTTGTACCGTCGAGTAAGAAAAGTTGTGTTCTCGAGCAACCACTCGAATACTCGTTTCAGGATTATCTTCGAAAGCACGTACAATTCGCTCCGTATTTCGCAAATTTCTTGCATTGCGATTTTTTCCAGTATCGTGTTTATCCGGAAGGACACTGCCAGTCTCGTGTAATCTCTGAGCTGCTCGAAGTATAACAGGAGCCGATGGATGTCTTGCTCGATTTGGATATAATTCGGCGTATCTTCTTGCAGCTACGTGATACTGCCCATGACACTCGCCGAGTGCCATTAGCATATCGTAATATTCTTCGTTTGTGTACGCTGCCATATCGTCCTCTTAACTCTTGTAATAATCGAAAGATTATTGTTTGCATTATCAATCTTCATTTAATTTATACAATCCGCGGGGTGTCGCGATTTCCCCTTCCACGCCTTCCGCGTCGAATAGCGGCACGCGACACCCGCGACAGCGGCCACCCGCGAATCGTATAAATATAAGATGCAGATCGAACCGACATTCAACCGACCGGAAAATCAAACCGACATTTTCTGTATATATTAGTTTCCGTTTTTTTCGTACGCATGCAATACGAGTTATGTTTATGATTCTGATCACTTATTACCGTATCGTACAACGTTGGCGAAACATTTTCATCTGGAATTTCACACGTTACGTATTTTCGAATAAACGTAGCAACTTCTTCATCCGGCGATTTTCCTAATACTGGAGCATCTTTTATCCAAATCATACAATGCATGTGCTGGATACTTCTACGTTGATATTCCAGTCGCCAGAAGTAATGAATAACCTTTCCTATTGGATTATCGGACGAACAAATAAAATCAATCATGGCTTTGAATTTTATGCACATGAATCTAGAAGTACTTACAGGATCGTATGCGATTAGTTCGCTGATGCCTAACTTCTCTTTATCGGGATTCATATCTCGTAAATATTCACCCAAATCGGACCATTTCCATTCACTAGGACTCAAAGTCAAAAACCACGTCGCTGGACCGTAATGCAAAGTCATGCATTTTACATTATTGGACGGTTGTCGCCAAAATTGATCCGTATTTTCCAATTTTGCGAAAATACTCATTAAATTCGATTCTAATTGGTAACCTTTCAATTCGTTCAAGTATCTACCAGCAGTGTATCTTTCTCGTGGGTTAGTAACCATCATCGTATAATAGATACCACTTTTCAACTGTCGGTAGTTAGCATCATTGAGAAGGAAGAACAGATACTGCAGATTCAACCTGAATCTACTATGTTTCGACATCAATCGTGTTCTAATAAATAAATATTCCGGCAATGCAAAGTTTCTATCTTCTCGTTGTCCATTGACATCATCAGGATATAAATCAGGGAAACACATGACATCCAGATATTTATAACGGTTATCCATTGGAAAATCTTCAATTTTCACCATTTGATAAAGCTTCAATGCAGATTCGTTATCGATTCTTTTCGCGTGTATTGGGTATATTGTATACTGATCGTTAATATCCGAATGTTCAGTGATTTGTGTGAGAAAAGCCGTACGTTTTAAAACGGTTTGATCATTATTATTTTTGTTTTGCTGTACATTGTACAAATTCAATGCTGGTAATTCCTCAACCACCTCATTTATTTCGTCAATGTCGCTTTCCTCATCGACAATCCTATATTCTGTTTCCTGCAACTTATCCTTTAATAGATTATCAGATGACGCTGGAAGACGAATTTTTGAGTAATGAGGATTATTTTCTTTTAACCATTGTAAAGCCTTATACATTTTATTAATATCTATCAAATTTTCCCAAACCACTTTAGATTTCTTGGGTATACCTCGAACGAGAATGTGCAACTCGTGATTCAAATTTATAGGATCTTCCGGAGGACATACCTTATCCAATGTTTCTTGTAAAGGCAGAGGCAAATGAAATGTTCTACCTTTTCCTAAACAGAGTTCGATTATATAAGTTTCTTGATTTAAAATGTGCTATATTTAAATCATTTAATTATTTTTTTGTTCAAGTACAATTAACAGCAAAAACTGCATATACGTAGGTATGTATTTGACTCTACTGCCATTACTTGAAACAAATACATTATTCGATATTAACAAATTGGAACTCTGGAATTATTGCGATAAATATTATATTGCGATATAAAATTACGAGTAATTTTTTTTCATTGTACAGACTAGGTTTAAATTTTTGAGGACCTTCTTTTGAACATGGCTTGACCTTTTCATTTTTATGATTTTTTGGAGATAGGGTGAGAGAGGACGAATGAGGTAAGAGAAGACGAGATAGGCGAAAGAGGGTGGTGAAAGAGAACGAAAGAGGGTGAGAAAAGACGTACGCGGGTTTTGATGAAGAGGTGAGAGAGGGGAGAGAGGAACGAAAGAGGGTGAGAGAGGACGACGAAAGAGAGTGAAAGAGGACGAAAAAGGGTGATGAAAAGGGCGAAACGAAAGAGGGTGAAGAGACGGAAAAAAAAGGGAGGCGAAAGAGGGAAAAAGGGACGAAAGAGGGTGAAAAAAGAGGTTGAAAGAGGGCAACAAAGAGGGGAGAAAGAGACGAAAGAGGGTGAGAGAGGACGAAAGAGGATGAAAATGAAAAGGGTCGAAAAAAGGGTGTGAAAGGTGAATGATGAATGGAAAAGAGGAGGACGAAAAGGGTGAAAGAGGACGAGGTACGAAAGAGGGTGAAAAGAGGACGAAAGAGGACAACAGAGGGTGAGAGGAGGGAGAGAGAATGAAAGAGGGTGAGAGGAGACGAAAAAGGTGAAAGAGGACGAAAGAGGGTGAAAGAGGACGACAGAGGACGAAAGAGGGTTGAAAAGGGTGAAGAGACGAAAAGATGGTGAAAGAGGACGAAAGAGGGTGAAAGAGGACGAAAGAGGGTGAAAGAGGGTGAAAGAGGACAACAGAGGGTGAGAGAGAACGAAAAAAACTGAAAATTAGGACGAAAGAGGGTGAGTTAGGGCGAAAGAGAGAGAGGGGGAGTGGTGGTGGGGGTGGGGGCGGGGGGCGAAATGAGGGAGGGAGGGAAAAGGGTGGGTGGAAGTGGAAGTGAGGGAGGTGTGAGTAAAAGGTGAAAAGAGATTGATATATCAGAAGACGCGGTAGTGTCTCCGGCCATGTTCAAACCTAAAAGACCTTAAAAGACACTACAAGTCTCCTTATCCTGCACCATCAAAGTCCATTTTTTGGGGGTGTAGAACTACTAAAATATAAAAAAATTTTGAATTGCACGTAATATAACCTGAAAGGCGGCATCGCCACGAGTAATTTGAGCCAAGAAAAAATAAAATCGGTCAAGCCGTTCTGGAGAAGAAGCAAGCGGTCAAAAAGTGACGTTTTTCATGAAAAATGAAGTAACGTCGTCTTCTTCTTCTTCTTCTTCTCTGTTCGCGTATAAATTCTTTTTCACCTTTCACTCACACCTCCCTCAACTTCCACCACCCCTCCCCCCACATCCCGCTTCCACCCCACACACCCCCAACCCCCACCCCCACCCCCACCCAAAACAACCCGCACACCCAACCACACAAAAAACAAACCAACAACATCACAAGCGTTCGGCACTAAAACAAGGGAGCTCTCTCAAAGCGGGCAACCAAGCTTTCGCCCTCTCCACCCTCTTTTACCTCTAACAATTTCTTTAGGAAATATCACTCTTCAACCCAGCTTTTAGGCATCAACCAAGCTTTCGACAGGAACAAAGGACGATCACCAGAGGGCGTCCTCCTCAAAAGAGGGCGGAGCGAGAAAAAGACCAGATAACACGAAAAATCAAAAATCTTTCAACAGACAAACAGAATCTAGAGGAAAGAATCTAAAGATCTACACCAGGAGATCAAACCAGAGGAACAGTCTTTCGGCACCTCACGTATCCCGACTCTATACTCTCTTTCGTCATCTCTCACCTCTTTCATTTTTTCACCCTCTTTTACCTTCTTTCGTCCTCTTTCACCTTTTTTCACTTTCTTTCGTCCCTCTCATCCCTCTTTTGCTCTCTCTCATCCTCTTTCGATTTCTTTCACACTCTTTCGTCCTCTCTCAACCTCTTTCGTCCTCTTTCACCCCTTTCGTTCTCTCTCACCCTCTTTCGACCTCTTTCGTCTCTCTCACCCTCTCTCACCTCTTTCACCCTCGTACGTCCTTTCTCACCCTCTTTCGTTCTCTTTCACCCTCTTTCGCCTATCTCGTCTTCTCTTACCCTCATTCGTCCTCTCTCACCCTATCTTCAAAAAAATCATAAAAATGAAAAGGTCAAGCCATGTTCAAAAGAAGGTCCTCAAAATTTAAACCTAGTCTGTACAATGAAAAATAATTACTCGTAATTCCAGAGTTCCAATTTGTTAATATCGAATAATGTATTTGTTTCAAGTAATGGCAGTAGAGTCAAATACATACCTACGTATATGCAGTTTTGCTGTTAATTGTACTTGAACTTATATGTTATTTTTCTGAGTCATTAACAAATTGGTACTCTGGAATTACGAGCCATTATTTTTCATTGTACGGGCTAGTATGAATTTCAAATCAAATCTCTATAAACGACTATTATATTTTGTGCTACTAAGAATAACATATCGCACTTATTTTCTAGAATCAAATTGTAATCAGTTTTACTTATATGTATGTATGTTCAATGTGAACTTGCACCTTGAATAAAATATCACAGTTACTTTTCATGGTAATATATTATACTAAATTTAGATAATATACACTTTACGTATGTTCACACTTTGAACTGGCACCTTGAATAACATATCAGTTACTTTTCATGGTAATATATTATTACTAAATTTAGATAATATACACTTTACGTATGTTCACTTGAACTGGCACACTTGAATAACATATCAGTTACTTTTCGTGATAATATTATTAGATTGTTTAAATTTTTAAAGGTTTAAATTTTGAGTACCTTCTTTTGAACATGGCCTGACCTTTTCATTTTTATGATTTTTTTAAGATTATATATATATATAATCCTGATGACGTCAGCGGACGCGGACAGAGAAGACGACGTTACTTCATTTTTCATGAAAAACGTCACTTTTTGACCGCTTGTATCTCCAGAACGGCTTGACCGATTTTATTCCTTCTTGGCTCAAATTACTCGTCGTGCGATGCCGCCTTTCAGGTTATATTACGTGCAATTCAAAAATTTTTTATATTTTAGTAGTTCTACACCCCCAAAAAATGGACTTTGATGGTGCAGGATAAGGAGACTTGTAGTGTCTTTTAAGGTCTTTAGGGTTTGAATTAAGGTCTTTTAGGGTTTGAACATGGCCGGAGACACTACCGCGTCTCCTAATAGCGG